CAGCAGACGTCGACGACGCGAAGGTCGACTCGGTAGTCTTGGTATCAGGAGACGTGGATGACGCGAAGGTCGACTCGGTAGTCTTCGTATCAGGAGATGTTGACACCGTCGTCTTTGTATCATTGGAAGAGGACGTGGCGGTTTCGGTGGTGGTGGTGGTGGTACAGGCGAGTCCGGCAGAAACGTTGTCGACAACGGTTGCAATAGCGTCTACGAGCGTGTTAACATTGTTGCTGTCGAAAGCGAAGATAGCTGGCAGATCGTGTCCTGCATTTTGGAAGTCGTTGTTATAGAAGTAGGTTAGACATTTGACGTACTGTTCGAGTGAGTATTTCTTGCCGTTGTCGGGTTCGAGTCCAGCTTGGCTTGAACAGAGGTTGAATGTGCTGGTGCCGCTGCCGTCTTCAGTTTGGTCTGGTAGGGAGAGGCCCAAGACAGGGTAGACATTTTTCTGTTTGAGAAGATCTCCCAGTGACTCTACAGAGGGATACTCAAACAGATGGCAGTTAGGTGCATTTTTGACATCAGCAACAAAGGGTTGTACGTCACTGTCCCAGTGGTCAGGACCGACAAAGGCCACGTCGGCGTCTAGAAGAGCCTGGTCTTCCGGAGACAAGACCTCACCGGCCAGGCTTCGGTTGTGGAGTTCCATCATCTCGTCGTGCGTATTTGCACAGGTGCCGGGGTTATAGGGATCTTCTGGGAAAGCGTTGGCATTGTTAGAGAAGAACTCCGGGTCGTAGAAGTTCTGGTTCCAATTGTTCACAGCGAATTCAGCTTCACCCGCATGGTGTGCTAAGTCATCGGTAATTGCCAGCAAAAGCCGTACCACAGGCAAGCCATCAACCGTATCAGCCTCAGACCACTTGACCTGGGGATCCACAAGCGCGTACGCCATGGCTTCATACGGGTTCTCCGGGAAGTCCCCACCACTAGCACCTAACCAAGACGCCGCCCTAACCTGGTCAATCAACTGGTCGGAAACGGCAGTCATGCCGCCGGCATCGGCCAACGCAGAACTGTCGTAACAGTAGTCAGGCCACATCGAATCCGCATCCCAGCAACCATAACCCTCAGTCAAACCCAAACCAGGAATCGGCTTGTCAGAGTAGGGTATGTACGCTACCTTAGCAGATCCCACACGTGCGGCAATGCCGTCAATCAAACCCTTCACCGGACCACTCGCAACCAGATTATGGTCCTCATCCTCCACGTCTCCCAGAAAGTTAACCACCATGTTGTAAAACGAACCAGACATGTCTTGCACGATAGTCAACTCCACATTACGAGGACACTCAACTGCCACAGACTGCGCAGATAGGACACAAAGAGTAGTAGCGAAGCTTATACACGATCTAGACATCTAGAAATAAGTCGATATTTACAACTCCATTTTAGACGCCTGCCACGCTCCATACCGTCTCCATCTAGCTGTCGCGTCTCGCCGGCACAACTATTTATTTCCGAGTCGGTTGGCATTCACCTCATTGCACTTATTTACCACTCTATCGATTCCCTCGTTGTCAGGGACAGTATGGTGTGGTGCGATGACATTCACCTCATTGCAGTTATTTACCACTGTATCGTTCCCTCGTCGTCAGAAATTCGTTCCCCTTAGTGAGTTCCCCTTGTGTTCCCGGACTAAAAATCTATCGCTCGGTCGCATGCACGGGTGAAACCCGTCCAGCAGCGGCCCGCTTTCACAGCATTGACAAGGCATTTGACAGGGTATTTGATCATTGCCAGCTGCAATCAGAAGCTTCGTCGCTGCTGTTGCTGCTGTTGCTGCTGTCGCTTTCATCACCTTTCTTTTCGTCGTCGTCTTTCTTTGCGTCCTGGTCGTGGTCCTGGCCGTGGTCTTGAATGGGCTGTCGGTCGCGTGGTTTGATCCATTTGGTGGCAAGGCAGATAGCGGTGAATCCTACGACGGACGTGACACCAAGGGCTACAATGCCTGGGACCAGGGGTGGAGACTGGCAGTGTAAGTCGCGTGAGAGTGTTTCAATAGTGTGGATGAGCTGTTGGACAAGAGCGGGTGCGTCTTTAGCATCTCGGGCGTCGTACATGGCGATTATGTAGCTCGTGAGGCCCATGGCTTCAAAGTCGGAAGTATAATATTGCTCCAAACATGCACGGAAGGATGCCTTATCCCATAGCTCGCCAGGTTCAGAAGCGGGTGACACTTCTAATCCTCGCGCCCTACATAACTCAGCTGAATAATCACTAACATAATCAGGCTCCGCCAATACCAATAACGGAATAATACCCTTGTTGTTCAATGCCGTCCCCACCTGTTCCAGACTTGGGTACTCGTACAACTCACACTCCAAAGCTGCCGCCATCGTTCCTGGATGCTCTACCGCCGCCTCAAATCGAGCTGGACCTAGCAATGCCAACAATGTCGCGTACTCCTCCAACTCGCTCCCCTCTAAGGTATCCGGCCCTTTCTCAATTAGCTCCAACAACCGGTTATAGTTGTCACCGTTCACCAAATAGCTTCCATAGATTGCGTCCGTATCTGCCGGATAAAACTGAGCCGAGATGATAAACTCCGGGTCGCCAAAATGCGGATTTTCTTCACCTTCGGTGGGCTTTTTCTGCACTGGACCCGGAGTTGGACCGTCCGAACCTTTTACGAGAACCTTTACTGGGTGCATGTTGGTCAAGGGTCCGTTCCACCAATCCATACCTTGTTGCAAGTCCCCCTTTTCGTGAGGGATGTCGTCGGCTACGACTATGAGGATCCGCAAGGTATCGTCGGGCAAAAGAGGAGCGTCGTCGCCTGGTGTATCTGGATCGGTTCCTGCTGGATCGGTGGTATCCGCTCGGCCGGTGGTATCCGCTCGGCCGGTGGTATCCGCTCGGTCGGAGAAACCGAAGTTTGGGTCGATGGCACAGTAGAGCATGGCTTCGTACGGGTTCTCAGGGTAGTCCCCACCGGAGCCCTCGGAGAGGAGGAGGTCTTGGTAGCCTTCGACCACGGCCGGCTGATCCGTGGTGAGGCCCTGGATCGACTTGTAGCAATAGTCCAAGGACTCGCGCACTCCTCGGCCCCCACCCACCCCGCGGAAGGGAGCGGGTTTATCCACGAAGCTCGCCAACCCAAACTTCACCTCATCAAAACGCGCATCCTCAGCCACCATGAACTCGTCGATGCTTGTGACCATAGCGCCGATCAACTCGTAAAAGGAACTAGACGCGTCTTGGAGGATCCCGATCTCAGCATTGTAACCCACACACTCATTCGCCGACGCGATACTCAGACCCGCCGATGGGGCCATCAAACACGCGACCAACCACACGAACGGAACAGACAACCATTCACCAATCATCTTCGTTTGTACAGAGATACGTTCGTACAGAGATACGTTCGTACAGAGATACGTTCAGTGGCTGTACAAGCTTGGCTGTGTACAGACAGGGATGGCTGCACAGGAAGGGATAACTGCACAGGAAGGGATAACTGCACAGAGAGGTGCCGCTATATAAAGAGTGGTATGGCTGTACAAAGTGCGGCTGCACGAGTTAATAAACGGAAGGTCAAAAATCAAAGTGCCGCGTTTGTTAGGCTTTAAGACTTGTTCGCTATTGCCGCTATAGACTGCAGACTGTCGATTCTTCTTTCAGCTGTCGATTGTGTGTTTCCTGCTTTACAGGATGACTACAAGATTCATGCAGGGGTGGTCTGGCTCAATTCCGTTCCAGCTATTGTATTGCACGCTCAGTATCCTATTCTACACACACCCGGACAAGAAGTATTCAAGGACCAGATCATGTAGAAATGGTTGGCTCTGAAACTCTTTGTGGTTATGACTCCTTGATGGTTCTGACTCCTTGATGGTTATGACTCCTTGATGGTTCTGACGTCTTGGCGGTTATGACGCCCCTGTGAGGATGACGGCTTGGTGGTTATGACGTCGCAAGGTCTGGCAACACCACGCCGTGAGACAACTCATTTTAAAAAGTCGGACAGATGACACAGTGGGAGCGCAATGGTGAGTCTCAAATTACTGTGGATCTCTTAACCGTCAAAAACTCAAATCACTCTGATTTGAGTGTTAAGAAAATCACAGAGCAAGAGACATCAACTTCCAAAAGAGCACGAGGGACTTCCTGGTCCCACCCTACCGCCAAACAGCTGCGTCCGCTTACCTCATTGATGCTTCCATCTTGCCCTTGTGGTGTTGCAAAACTCTGGCGGTAGGGAAGCTAACTCATGAGCAGCGTCGTGATACCAGGGGAGGGGGACCCACCCGGCAGTGGGTTAAGTCAAGCGGTTCAGTCGGACGCGGTCCAACCCCCAGTCTGGATGATCAGTCCAGCACAAGTACATCACTTGCGACAAACCGCGGCCGTCCCCACACACTTGTGGCCGTGATGGAACATCTTCCTCGGTCATGACCGTGAACAAGAAGCCCAAGGCCGTGACCAAGAATACACCAGCTCACCTTATCGCATTCGACCTTCGAAATTTCTAAAAATAAAATCTCAAATGCTGAGATAACACAGTAAGCTACTTGCGGGCTGACTGCAAGCTGCCGGCCGGACCCCAATGACGCCTCAGACAGACACCCGTTCTGATGGCCAAGCACCTTGACGCATGACCACCAGCTTTGATTATGTCCGCCAGCTTTCGACTCCGGCCGTGCGAATCTCGTTTGCCCACTGAGCTACGGTCGTGTCTCTTCCGCTTCTGCACCCACCTCGGCCCACCTAGGGAAGCATTCGGCAAACGCGTAGAGTCCTCGTCGCTTCTGTAGTGGTGGGAAAGAATCTTTGCTGGCGTTAGGCTAGAGAGATCATTACCGAGGGATTGCATGCATAGCTCCTGACGAAGGAGTCAGAGAGCATCTTTCCAGTGCGGGGCGACTCATCACGCTCAACAGGTCGACGTTGTGGCGAGTAGATCCGGTACTCTTACAGGAAGTGCTACGATTGCCCAGCCGCCAGGCTGATGTCATCACAGTTGTAGCGGGTTCGCGGTATGTCTCTGGGTTCAGGCTTAATGAAAACTGGTTGGGATGAAATGGCAATCTGTTCGTGAAGGTGCCATGTAGCGTCCGGGTTGTTCGGGATAATGAGGGATTTCTGGCAGGTTCTTCGCCAGGGGTGTGTCGCGAACGCGCGCGGGCCTGTGTGTGTGTGTCACGCACGCGCAGGGGTAGTTGGGCGTGACGTTCAGGCCGTCTGAAGTGATGATGCAGGGTTGGAGACAGGGTTTGGTGTGTCCTGTTGGGTGCTGGGTGACGGCCTGCTAATGCTGAGCTCGTCATCTGAGTCGCGGAATAGGGGTATCGCGTCAGGAGTGTGTGTCGCCATGTTGCCCTCTGTCTCCCTTATATCAAAAACCCCGTTGCCGGCCCGTCATTGAGCTGTTGTGTCTCGACGCACCACAGCCTTTCCCCATCATGCACGGGACCAGTGTATTCGCTACGACGTTTAGTATGACCAGTAATCAGTCAAGAAAATAGATTAAAACCGAGGTCCTCGCAGGTATTCAGCTTACATCCTAATCTTGCAACCGCGACTACTGCCAGGATATACTCCATGTACGATTCGATGTAGCACGCTACCTGGGAAGTCCAATGTGTCTCACTGATACGTTCGACTTGTCTCACCGGCACTGGGTAGTCCCAGGAGGGGCGTGAGTCGTCCAGGGACATAACGATCTCAAAAGAAATTTCTGTACGTGTTTTGGACACAACTCGTTCCCGCGACTAACAACTACAAATGCAAGGACAACTGCCAGACATCGTAGCTGTCGACAGCGACGCCGAACACAAGGCCAACGGAAATAGCGCTACCCTCCATCCACCATGGACTGGCGACAACTGCTGGATGGGTTGAGGGTGCTGTGGGCTTCCGCCACATGCCGAGGTTCTCGCGACCAGAGCAGCCAGTGGACAAGTCCGAATGGAACGAGTGGGTTTCTCGAATCAGCTACCCCGAACCACCATGGACGAACCACCCGCCAGTACGTATAATGAGTGAACTATTCAGCTCATCACGGGAGACATTAAGAGTCAGTTTTTTTACATTGTGGTTTTCTAATGAAGGCAATTACAGGTCTACGCTTGATTGGGGTTGGGGGTTGGGAGGCGCTGGCAGCGTTCATGATGGGGAGTTGTCGCCCATCGACGGCTGCATCGCGAGGATAGCGGTTGTGTCAGACGGTAAGGGTGTCGCCGAAGTTCTGGCCTTAGCGCCTTCCTCGGAGTTTTTAGAATCCAGCCTTGCGGATCATGACTGGCTCAATCGCTGGAATCGCCTTCGCGTCTGCCACCCGGAAGGGTCCAGGATACAAGTGGAGACTTCCGCGCGCATCGAGCGCTTACTTGCGCGGACCCTGAAGGAGCATCTCAACGACACGGACCCGTCCGTTGCCGATGTGGCACTGGAGACCGCATTTGGCAGAGAGCTTATCAAGTGGCTGGACACAGGCAGTACCGAAGACACGAATATCGTCGATGAAAGGCCAAAGTTGGAAATCATAGATATGAGGCCGCTAGATGACGACGAACAAGAACAGCTGTCGGCGCAATATCCGAAGTGGAGTGCCGTAATTCAGGATTCCGGCCCCGACGCGTATTGTATTGAGGTCGAGGGCCAGGCTATTCGTGAAGAAACTGGAAGCTTCTGGCGACGGCCAAGGTTTCTCAAAGGTCTTGGTGTTGCCTGCGCCACGGGTGTGAGTGGTGCGGTGATAGCAGGGGTGGTGTTACACTTCAGTAGACAACGAGCCGGCAGTTTGATAACCCCAGATTCAAAGTCGTCGGGAATCCTCGATCCTCTTTCAGTCTCTACCTATACTCCGTCTGAGGGGCCAATGCCCAGCTCTACTACGTCGAGGGGGCTGATTTACAGCGAGACTCAAAGCGAGGCCCCGACGACGACGTATACTCCGATTACTGAGGCCACGACGAACAGCTACACACCGTCATTGTGCGATGCGCAATTCTCTCGCTTGTCAGATGCCGAGCGGTACAAGTATGCGGT